ATTTATTAAATTATATTCATATCATTTACTTTAAAATTTGTCACGTCATAACACTTTTATAATTAAAAAATGCCATATCACTTACTTTATTTCTACATAATTCTCAATATTAATAGAAATTGAATTTCTTAATGGAGAATTTTGTCACATCAAAACCTAACTGACAGAAGGACTAAATTGGTACCAAGAATTGAAGTTTAAGGGTATTTTTAGTATTTTTTGAAGTTCGAGGGTAGATTTGGTTAAAAAATAAAAGTTGAGGGACCAAACTAGGTATTTAACCTTCATCCAATTACAACTTTTCCTTCTTCGATGGATGTTTGGCTTGAAGGGATGTGATTTTAACAAATCCAACCAAATTGATACTAAAAAAATATATGAAAAAAAATTAACAATTTCAATAAAAATTCAATTCAATACAAAAGTTATTAATAGAGTGCTAACTTCCCAAAAAATCACATATTAAAAGTTCTCTCTACAAAGTTACCCTAATGCTACTACTGCTACCAAACAGCAACTATTGGTTATGGGTCACAACTACCTGTCAAAGATCACACCAAATATTATAAGTGTGCTTAGTTTACTTATACAAGCAAGCTATAGCTATTAGTTAATGTTTAATAAAATAATTAATATTTATTATTTGATATTGGGTTTTATACTTCTTTGAAATGCTATAAGTTTGTCAAGTAGAAAATTGAATGTGTGTGGGAACAAAAGAACAATCTTGTTAAGTTGGGCACCTATGGTTTCTTTGGCATAGGTTCTCTAACGCTCAAGTCAAATTAGATTTTGATGAGAAAGGTTTTTGGGCAAAAAGAGAAGAAGAAAGGAAAAGAAATTTGAAAATTAAATTTACCTTGGGATCTACGTAAGTCCTGTTTGTATAATATTGAGATGGTATTTAGTTGATAGACAAAAACCTATTAGAAGTGTACATGTGTTGAGGTTGAACTTAATAGATTAGGCCTAATAGTCAATGGAAATGTGCCATGTTGGACACATCAAATGTAGCCAACTTGCTAAGGAGTAATGGTCCGTTCGTAAGGACTAACATAAACGCATCCCACATTCAAGTGCAATTTTATCCTAAGATATAGTGAGTCTCACATGTACCTTATTCCTTTTGTCCTTAATCATCAAGTTCTAGTTTTAAGTAGATAGCTTAGATCCATCAAATATCACTTAAGTTCCTTTCTAGATAGCTTAACCATCCAAGTCTTAGTACATCTTTCTAAGATCATGAGAGTTAAAGGTTTAACTCAACCCAATTAGTTCCATTTCCAAGAGCTTTCTCAATTAACATAACGTAATATCAACTACCTTTCAATTACAACCTAAATCCATATAAACCA